CTCTACAAAGAAATTGGCTGAATCAATTTCTCTAAAAATTTAACTATATACTTATCTTTTTGTGCTCTATCTTTTATCTATTGACACAAAGATAGATTTCCTTAGCTAAAGTGTCTCATAGAGTCGACCTTTTGACTACCCGACTCCATGCGCCCAAAAAAGCCTTGAAAATAGAATATTCTTGAGTTCTGGAGGGCAGAGTAGCTTTTTCGTCAATTATCTGCGAAATAGCGAACAATTTTCAATATAAGGATTACAGTGGCTGCAAACTCGCCCATTTTCACAGAGAATGTCGAATTGCGACGAAACATGGCTGAAAATCAGCTAGAGCTCGCGGTGTTCAAATCCGAATCACAAAAATTCAAAAATAAGACATTTTAAACCCGTTTTAATGTTATTTTGTAGAAAAATAATTGGTTTTTCTAATGAAACAAAGCGTAGTTCAATTGGTGAATTTGTTAATTTCAAACAGAAGTACGGAAAGAAACGAAAAGACTTTCTGGACAGCCTAATAAGATAAGCTCAAACTTGGCCGGCTTGTTTGCTTGGCTTTACTGCAAACTGTACAATAGTGTACAGTATTTTCAGTACAATAATGTGCAGCCTAATACAATACCTTTGAGTTTATCTGTAAAGCTATAAACTTTTCAGACTCTACTTCCCGATTTGGCTTGGGTGGAAGCGAATTGGATGGGCGATATTATTCCATCGATTATCAATCAATCAGCGATGATGTTCGAGAATGTTTTCCTGCAAAACTCGCCATCGTAAAAAAACTTTACAAGTTCTAAAGACATTTTGTCAGAATCTATAACGGTGGTATTTATGGTTATCAATTCTCGTCAGAGATCGATTTTTTGATGCATTGTGATTGGGTAAGGAATAGTCGAATCTATGGATCACCGGCTTTCAAAGCTGCTTTCAAAGATGCTTTCAAAGCTGCTTTCAACGATGCTTTCAAAGCTGCTTTCAAAGCTGCTTACAAAGCTGCTTTCAAAGCAAGAAAGCCAGAAATTTTGTAAAGAAGCTGAAAAATATTCTTTCTTGTTTAGGATCTTTGCAACAATTTGTCCAATATTAATTTTCTCAGTGAGCAAAAAGTGATTTGTTTGGTGAAAGAGATAAATTCTCATTGTATGGCTCAAGCATGTATGCTTATTTATTACAAAAAGGTAGAAAAAAAATAGAATTAAGAAAAATGTTAATTTAGATATAATATTTAGACAAACACTTATGTTAGCGGTTGTTTCTGGCAAGATTCGACTTTTGCACAAGGACGATTTGAGGTTGATTGTCTTAAAATCTTGTTAAAAGGACAAAAGTAGACAAAAGGAACCAAATCTGTAGAGAAATAGAACCAAATCTGTAGAGAAAAGGAACCAAATTTTTGGAGAAGGAACCAAATCTATAGAGAAATAGAACCAAATCTGTAGAGAAAAGGAACCAAATTTATAGAGAAAAGGAACCAAATTTGTAGAGAAAAGGGACCAAACCTGTAGAGATCAAATCAAATTTGTCTTAAAATAAAGCCAAAAGGCTTTTTTCTTTTTGAAAAGAAGTAAAAAGCTAATTGGACCTCAATTTTACAAAATTCTAAATACAAAAGAGAACTATGAGGTCAAAGTTTCAGGTTGGTTACTATTCCCTGACGAACTCTTCCTATTTTATCATTTGTGCTTCTAATTACTGTAATGAATCGCCAAGTACAGCAAAAAATTCAATTTCGAATCTCTCATCTGCAAATAATCCACCATTCACCCCGAATGATCGAGCGATTTTTGTTACAAATCAATCGTCTGCTTTCAATTCACGAACTACACAATCGCCAATGATTTCACAAAGAAAAATCTCCAAAAGAATCTTTCAAACTCATTTACTTTTTCTAATTTGTATATTAATTGAAATTTTAAACGTAAAATGGCAGTTTTATTACGTCATTTAATGTACCTTAAAATTCCCTCTTTTTCGGTCCTTTTGCCCCTTCTTTTTCTTCTTGCCGGGTGCCTCGGGGGGGCCGCTCCCCCCCCCCCCCCCCCCCCCCTTTTTATATTTTAAAAATTAAAAAAAAAAATTTTTTTAATTTTTTTTATTTTTTTTTTTTTTTTTTTCTTTCGTTGGGGCGCCGCGCCCCCCCCCCCCCCCCCCCCCCCCCCTCTTCTTTCCCCCCCCCCCTCCTCTCCTCCCCCCCCCCCCCCCCCCCAAATCCCCAAAAAAAACCCTTAAAAACCCTCCCCCCCCCCTCTTTTTTTTTTCTCACTAACCAAAAAAAAAAAAAAAAAAAAAAATTTAAGACCCTTAATCCCCCCTTTTTCTCTTTTTTTTCTTCTCTTTTTTTTCTACTTCCCCCTTTTTTTTTTTCCCTCTTTCCCTCTTTATTCCCCTTTTTTTTCTTTATTCCTTCCCAAAAACAAAAAAAAAAAAAAAAATTTTAAAAAAAAAAAAAAAAATAAAAAAAAAAAAAAAAAAAAAAAAAAAAAAAAAAAAAAAAATAAAAAAAAAAAAAAAAATTTTATTTTTAAAATATAAATTTTATATGGGTTTTAGGGAGGTGGGGGGGGGGCCGTTTTTTTTTTTTTTTTTAAAAATTTTTTTTTTTAAAAATTTTTTTATTTTTTTATATTTTTTTTTTTTTTTTTTTTTTTTTTTTTTTTTTTTTTTTTTTTTTTTTTTTTTTTTTTTTTTTTTTTTTTTTTTTTTGTTGTTGTTGTTAAATAATAAAATTAACGCTATTTTTGTGGTCTTTAAGACAAGAAATGCTGAAATCCTCTAAATAAACTGAGAAAACGTCAACTGAGAAAAGATCCGATTAATTTTCACGCTGCATTTTTCAAATGGCGTAAAATACGGGCAAAAATTACGTCCGTTTTCTCTAGTTTTTGCACGTTCTTTGATCATTTTATCAAATTGATCTCTCTGAAATGACAGCATTAGATTACTTTCAACGTTTTATTCCAGCTTTTAATCAAAATAGACAACTAGGGAGATCAAAAAACGAAGATTATTGTTAATAATGCAAATTAAAATTGTTAATAATGCAATTTCAAAAAACTCAATTCTTAAAGGTTTAAGAAGAACCGAAATTTTTTCTATTTTGACACAAAATGGCTTAAATTGAGAGGATCTTGCATTATTTGTCTAATTTAAGGGATTCTCGTCAAAAACTCAACAAAAACAACATTGTCAATGGGTCTGTCAACCTTGAAAACCCCCGGATGCCAATTTTCAGCTTTAAAACATTTGCTTGAGAGACACAAAGAGTAAAAGAGCACCATGTTAAGTGGCCGCGAGATGTTCTTTGTGGGTGGGGTAATCGCTCAGCGTCTGGCGCAGGGCTTTTAGGTAACAGGGGCCTTTTCCCCCTCGGGTCGGCAATCTGTTTCGTTCCGGACTGGTCGTATCCGAAGGGGGCAGTCCATTTTGGACTCTGCGTTGACGTCACACATTTGGTTTTCTCGTTTACTATTAGGGACTTGCGAAAGAGACTGCGGATTGCTTCCGAGGACCCAAGTTTTTTGTGTTTGAAAGTGTGATGGTCTGGTTTAAATTGTATTATATTGTATTATTATTGCTTATTCATTTTAATTATTTTGACAACTATTGCTATCATTAAATATTACATAATCTTAGGTCCAAGATGACGGATCAAAAACTCGTGTTGCGGGCGTGTCTTCTCTATGACCTCAAAATGAAGAAATCAGCATCGAAGTCTAGCCGGAATCTTTGTGAAGCATTCGGAGAAAACATTTTGAGTTAAAGGACTTGCCAGGAATGGTTTCGACGTTTTCGTGAAGGGGATGGCAGCTTGGAAGACGAGCCTCGTGGATATTGTATTTGTTATGCTATCGGTCTTTTGGAATATGAAAGGAATCGTTTATTTTGAATTACGAAAATCTTCAAAAACTATAACTTCTCAAATCTACGCCGAACAGCTGAAGAAAGTTGATGAAATTCTACGAGAAAGAGGTGTTAATCCAAGGACAATCCATTCACTCGCTGACAATGCCCGGGTACACACATCAAACTTGGCTCAAAACACCATAGAAGAATTAGGCTGGAAACTTGTGCCTCATCCGCCCTAGCGGCTGATATCGCTCCCTCAGATTACCACTTGTTCCTGTCTATGCAACACTCTCTTGCAAATCAAAAGTTTAACAATCCTGAAGAAGTCGAAATTTGGGTGCAAGACTACTTTGCGTGGCGAGACCCCGAATTTTTGCGAATCAGGCATCCGAAGTCTACGTAAAAAATGGAAGAAAATAGTTGATAATAATGGCGAATATCTTTTGGGATAAAGTTGTTTTCTTATTGATTTTTGGGTTCTTCGAATGTTGATTATAATCCACAGTTTCTTTTGCAAGTACCTAATATTATATTAGACTGGAAAGGATGAAGTCTCGTGAATTTCCTTTTACTTACTTACTTATTTACTTTACTTATTTTAGCATTAACATAACTAGAATTTCTAGGGTTCATCTAGGGTTTGAACCCTAGAATGAACCCTAGAATGAACCCTAGAATGAACCCTAGAATGAACCCTAGAATGAACCCTAGAATGAACCCTAGAATGAACCCTAGAATGAACCCTAGAATGAACCCTAGAATGAACCCTAGAATGAACCCTAGAATGAACCCTAGAATGAACCCTAGAATGAACCCTAGAATTTCTAGGGTTCATTAAACTTCTGAATTTTGTAGACTGCTCTTAACAAAAGCGTTCTTTACTCACTTATCTTTTCAGAGTGACAAATTTGTTAATTCGTAAGCATAATTATCCGTTGATTCATCACTAACTAATCGGTGACGAGTCCATAGGAATCCTTCTTCGGAAAGAGAAAGGGAAATCTTCTTCAGAAAGAGATTTTCCTCGGAAAAAATCTGATAACAAAGTGTGAAATGTATAAAAACGAGATCTTTGTATTCAGAAAAATTTAAATTCAAATCAAAAAATGTTGCTTTTATTTTTATTTCTTTGCTTTCATTTTTCAAATGCACAATTGCAAATGATGAAGCTTTTACATCAACAAGGAAGGAGTTGGGAAGAATTTTGGCATCCACCAGAAGTTTGCTTCAAAGTAAAAGCTTCTTGTAGCTCGGTTTAGTTGCTCGATGTTTATGGATTAGGCGAGGAATTGCTCGTGCAAAAATGGTTGCCAAAATTGAGTGTAAGTGAGGGTCAAAGAGAGTGATTTCATAGTTTAGTTTAACATTTTAGTTTAACAGTTTAGTTTAACAGTTCCAATTTTCAGTCAGATCCAATGCAATCCACTGAAAAGTGCTCTCAAGACTTGCAAATGCTCAACGATTCGCTCACAAAAATATTTGATGGCTCATTGCTCAATAAAACTGCCGTTTTGAATGATTTTGATAAAACGGTTACACTACCTTGTGAGAAAACTTATTGCAATGAAATTAAGAAGAAAAATTCCAGTAATCGACTCACAGGGATCGCTAAATGGAGGCCTTTTAACTGGGCATACATCTTATTATGGTAAGTGATAGCCTGGAGTGGTTGAAAGCCTGGAGAAAACCTGAAGAAAGCCTGGAGATTTGTTTGCCTGGAGTACAAAGTTTATCTTTATAATTCCCAGGTCGTTGGGGTGAATGCCGAAAAATCAATTATAAACTCTCAAATGGAAACGTTTGGAGAGGAGAAATTTTTAGGTAAAAACAGATTTGTGAAGAGAATTCAAAAACTGATTCAGATTCTTTATCGGATCCCTCAATCAAACTACAAATCGATGTGCAAAAGCAATTTTGGGAATCGATATTTGTTTGCCAAAATCGTGCACTGCTTTCGAGATAAAGAGGCGAATACAAGCCACAAAAAGTTCGTTTTTGATAAGATTGAAGTTTAAAACTCAAATTTTACTTAGCCTTTTAAAATTTTACATTCAAGACCCTTATCTATTATTTTGGGCTGAGAAATAGACGGTCATGGCTGTCTATTAGAGCTTTTACGGTACTTTTGTTATGTTGTCTAGGGCTAGGGAAGATTAGAATTTATTGAACAGCATCTATGCTGAATATGCTCATTTAGTAAAATTGCACAAAACGAAAACAGAAGTGGTTAATAAAAAAATAAGAAAGTATGCTCAATCAATGAAAGTTTTTTGAAATAAGGGATACCTGTTGTCTCTTTTAGTAGTAAACGCTGAGGGCTAACTATATATTTTGGTGTCCCCCCTTGTTTCCCTTTTGTTTCCCTTTTGTTCCCCTAGTTTTCCCCCTTGTTCCCCCAGTTTCCCCCCTAGATCTATATTCTGGATACTACATTCCTTACAATGTATTGGGCTGGCCAATAAGTAATTTTGCCGTAAATTTTTAGTGGCCCTATACATTTCGGTGTGTCCCCCTTGTTTCCCTTTTGTTCCCCTTAGTTTTCCCCTTGCCAGAGGCATTTTGGATTTTTCTCGACACAGGATTTATCAATTTGGCTGTTTTTGGTCTCATGCAATGCGTCTATTTGTCCTCTATCTAATGAAACCAAAAACAGCCAAATTGATAAATTCGGCGTCGAGAAAAATCCAAAATGCCTCTGACAAGGGGAAAATTAGTAGAAAAAATCGATTAGTAGAAAAATCCAGCTAGGGGGACAAAAGGGGGACACCGAAATGTATAGGGTTACGGTAAAATTACTTATTGACCAACCCAATACATTGTAAGGAATGTACATAGTATCCAGAATATAGATCTAGGGTTGACTCATGATCTAGACATTTACCAGAATAGTGTAGTTTCCGGTGTACAGTAGATGTATGGCATACTGCAACTGCAACCAGATTAACCATAATTTCATAGTATCCTTTCGATTTTACAGTCCCACTTCTCTCAAATCCGATCTGTGATGTAGCAAACAATGATTCAGCAAGAACAAATCAAGTCGACACTGGCACCTACATTGTTGCGTAAGGTTTTCGAATTTTTAAAACAAAAACAACCAAAGCTACATCGAGATTTGGGTAATTCAACTAAAATTCGTTCAGAATTTTTGTCTTCTTCGTTCTCGGCTTTGGCATAATCTCCGGTTTTGTTGATTATTTTCTCTACAATGATCTTAAAGATTTTGTGACTATTGATGAAGAAAGTTTGGCTTTAAAATTTAACCAATCAAATATTGTTTTAGATATTTATTGGAAGATCTTCTTTGCTTTTTCACTTTATCGAAACACAAAGGGAATTTTTAGCACAAAGGGATTGAATAAGGTGAGTTCTGAAGATGTTTTTTAAAATAATTTTTTTTTTATTTTTTTTTTTTTTTTTTTTTTTTTTTTTTTTATTTATTTTTTATTTTTTTATTTTTTTTTTTATTTTTTTTTTTTTTAAAATATTAAAATTTTTTATTTTTTTTTTTTTTTTTTTTTTTTTTTTTTTTTTTTTTTTTTTTTTTTTTTTTTTTTTTTTTTTTTTTTTTTTTTTTTTTTTTTTTTTTTTTTTTTTTTTTTTTTTTTTTTTTTTTTTTTTTTTTTTTTTTTTTTTTTTTTTTTTTTTTTTAAAAATTTTTATTTTTTTTTTTTTTTTTTTTTTTTATTTTTTTTTTTTTTTTTTTTATTTAAATATTTTTTTTTTTTTTTTTTTTTTATTTTTTTTTTTTTTTTTTTTTTTTTTTAATTTTTTTTTTTTTTAATTTTTTTTAATATTTTTTTTTTTTTATGATGATTTTGTTGAAAGATTGATGAGAAGTTTCATTTTTAAGCTGGATTTATCTAATAACTATTTAGGCTGGCCAAATCGGGCCACTTCATTGCATGCGTTTCTTCTCGATGTGTTGGGTCATAATGGGTCACGTGAACGAGTTTCTTCTCGCTTTAGTCAGTGAGTTCTTTAGTCACTTCTTCTCGCCTTAGTCAGTGAGTTCTTTAGTCACTTCTTCTAGCCTTAGCCAGTGAGTTCTTTAGTCACTTCTTCTCGCTTTAGTCAGTGAGTTCTTTAGTCACTTCTTCTAGCCTTAGTCAGTGAGTTTTTGAAAGCTCCTTGAAATCTCCAAAAATGAAACCCTAATCCTTAAAATAGAGCAAAAAATATTGCAAATTGGTTTACTAGAAGTTGAAAGTATTAAAATTACAAAAATTTTAGCCAAGCCAAAGCAATTCAGAAAATCTTTTCGCTCCTTTTATTGAAAAATCACAAATTTATTAATTAACCAATGGTTTTCTCGAAATAAGTGTTTCTTTTTCAATTTTCATCCTTTTAAGTCAATTTTTGTTTACTTTCAAACGCAAATTCGATAGTTAATTTGAATTTGATTTGAATTTGAAATGTGACAGCTCTGGATCATGTTTTGAAAAAATTGAAAACAATTTAGCCAATCCACTGGAAGTGATGAAAGTCGTGGGAAATTTGGAATTCGAATTTCTCACAAACGCCTACTTCTCTGTGGACACATTTTTCTTTATTGGTGGTGTACTCCTTTCTTTCATTTGGTTCAAAGAATTGAAGAAAAATCGAAGAAATGTGATTTCATCTCGTGGATGGATCATGTTCTATGTACATCGAGTGTTGAGGTGAGTTGGAGTTTGATTGTTTTGATTTGTTTGATTGATTTGATTGATTTGATTTGTTTCATTGATTTTAAAGTTTAATCAAAAGATTTTCCCCATTTTTCGATTGTCTCCCGTTTTCTATATCACCGTGCTTTTTTGGATGTTCGTTGCGTTGCCGATGTTGCCTGACTCCGAGATGATGTTTCAATTTGTGTGAGTGCTTTGGGAATGCTACGGAACACAGGGAAAGTTATCTTTCTTTATTCAAAGAATAAAGTTCATCTAAACTTCATAAACTTGGGTAATTAAACCAGCAAAACTATATGACAATAGCCGGCAGTTTTCAATTCACCAACCCAATAGGAACCGTGTTGGAATCGTATTGGAATAAAATAGGAACCATATTGGAATCGTAACAAAGAAAATGTCGTAAAAACAAGGCTAGCGCATTGGAATCGTATTGGAGCCGTATTGGAATAAAATAGGAACCGTATTGGAATCGTAACAAAGAAAATGTCATAAAAACAAGGCTAGCGCGTCTTGTCGCCTATAATTCTGAAGCACCCTGTACAAGTTTTTCTAGGTGATGTGGCGATTAGCTGCTGCCAATGGGTTTCTTTTGAAGAAAGTGCTCAAACTGTCACATATGACAATAGCCCGCAGTTTTTAATTCACCAACCCAATAGTTGTAGAGAAGACAAACGCATTGAATGATAAATAAAGACTGTGATTCTTGAAAGCCAACTTTTAAGCCATAGTATCCCTTTAAATATCTTATTCTTAAATCTTTCAGTTACGGTCCACACGATCCTTGCCGAAAAACATGGTGGGCAGCTATGCTCTACGTGGAAAACTTTATCCATTACACTCATCATGTAAATGAAATGCAATCATCGATCAACTCAACACTCAATATTTGCAGTGTTACACACCGTCTTGGTATCTTGCTACTGATATGCAAATGTACGTCTTCACTCCATTGTTGCTCATCCCATTCACCTATTCGGCGGTGAGTTGCCTCAATTTTATGATCTTGCTTTATTAATTTATTTTTTAGATAACCGGCATCCTTGTCTCGATCTCTGTAATTGTTTTATCAACAATTGCTCACATCATCACAATTTATCGCTTCCATTATCCGCCTGGATCATTCCAAGCACCAGGAATCTATGAGGATCCAAAGGAGTCACACATGGCGTAAGTAAAGACTAATTTTATTCAATTTGACTTCAATTTGACTTCAATTATCGATATTTTGACTTTATAAAGTTGTTTAGCGAATATGCAATGTATATCTACAATGCTCCATGGATTCGATGTCAAGTTTATATCATTGGAATCCTTGTCGGTTACTTGCTGCAAACGAGAAAGCTCAGAATCAATAGAGTGAGAAAAATTCTTGAGTTAATAGAGAACTCTTTCTAGTTCTTGAATCTCATCATGTGGGGATGTGCAGCAGCATTGATGTTGACAGCAGCTCTAGGATTACATCATTACAATAATGGGTGAGTTTTAGAAAGATTCTTGCAATACTTGATTGTAAGCTTTGAGATTGTAAGGAAAGGATTTTAAGGGAAAGGTCTGTAAGGCTTTTGGAGAGGGGTTGAAGATAGCAAAGTAAGATTTCTGGAGAGGGATTGAAGCCTCGACCATTTTGCATTCCGGGTAGCTGAGCTATCCGCGTTCCGGGTAGATGCTCCAACCACTGAGCTATCCGGTATCTTCTTGTCAGAGAAAGAGGGATATGACAAAGGGTTGGAAAAGTCAACTTTTAATAGGCAAACTTATGTTAAAAATGCGATTTTCGTGATCAGCGTCCTTGGTTACTCCAGAAAAAATTAAAATTTTGAAAAAAAAAGTGCTCCCACTCAACTTTATTAATGCCCAGGTCTTCGATAAAGCTTCGAGGCAAATAAAGGCAAATAAAGCACAAACATAAAGGCCAGAAACCCATCTTTGTCTTGTTGTTCATAAGATTCAGAATCATGTTCATAAGATTCCTTGTTCAGAATCTTGTTCAGAATCTTGTTCAGAATCTTGTTCATAAGATTCCTTGTTCAGAATCTTGCTCATAAGATTCCTTGTTCAGAATCTTGTTCATAAGATTCCTTGTTCAGAATCTTGCTCATAAGATTCCTTGTTTAGAATCTTGTTCATAAGATTCCTTGTTTAGAATCTTGTTCATAAGATTCCTTGTTTAGAATCTTGTTCATAAGATTCCTTGTTCAGAATCTTGTTCATAAGATTCCTTGTTTAGAATCTTTTTCATGAGATTCTGAACAAGGAAAATGGAAATATTCAGATGGAAAATGCCAACATTTTGGCGAGCGATGTACTCGGCTTTCTCTCGGCCTTGCTGGGGACTTGGACTTGCTTGGATCACCATTTCTTCATTTTATGGATCAGGAAGTAGGGCAACTTTTCTAAAACATGAAAACTTTCAAACTTTAAAACTTTCAAAAACTACCATAATCTTATCCAATCTATCTACTTTTTGTTTAACACAAAACTAAGAAATACTAAGATAAGATTAAAGTAGTTTTTGATCGTGGACAGGTTTTAGTTTTAGTTTTAGTTTTAGTTTTAGTGGACACTTTTTGTGGACACAAAAACAACCAAAATTACATCCAGATTTGGGTAATTTAACCAAAAATTGCCTAAGCCTAAGCGAAATAATCCTTTTAGGCATCATCAACACATTCATGTCATGGCCTGGATGGGCTCCATTGAGTCGTTTAACTTATTGTGCCTATTTGATTCATTTAATGGTTATTTATTATGTATTTTCGATACACAATCGAGAAATTATTTGGAATTCGTATTTGGATGTGGTGAGTGGGAGTTTCAATCGCAAAGTAATCGTTGGTCATCGTTAGTTTCTCAATTTTGCCGTTCCATCCATTGTTATCACCTATCTCATCGCGATCTTGTGGAGTTCTTGCTTTGAGATCTCCGTCGGGAAGGTGAGCTTGTAAAATACTCGTATTTTAAATATTTTCTAATTAACTTTAACTACGGTAAATTTCCTTCAACTTATTGGAAAATTCTCTCAACTTTTATTGAAAAATTCAGCTGGAAATGTTACTTTTCGGAGGAGTCAGGCGGCGACCCGTTGCAGAAATTGCAGTTGAAAAGGAAAATCCATCAGTAGGTTTTTAATTTTTGAAGCAAAAAGCAAAAGAATTGGCGGCAAGAGGAGGCGAACCCGCGACCTCTCGTCCGTTTGTTTGAGAGACACGCGCGTTAACCATTTGGCCATGCTCTAGAAGATGGCGCAGTGCACTTGTCTCTAGCCCACATGTTCCGGGTTCGGCTCCCGCTCGCAACGACACTCTGGGTTTTTAAAAAAATTTAAAAACATGTCGCACAACTACATGGAATTCTAAGCCAAACGAATTATAAATCATTTGAAACGGCCCACTGAGCGCGGAGGAATAGTGCGCACAGAGAGACAGAGAGACAGACAGACTGACAGACAGATAGACATACAGATGGACAGACGGACAGATAGACAGACAGAGAGACGGACAGACAGACAGACAGAGAGACAGGCAGACAGATAGACTGACAGACAGATAAACAGACAGACGGATAGACAGACAGACGGACAAATAGACTGACAGATAGACAGACAGACGGACAGACAGATAGCCAGACAGACTGACTGACTGACAGACAGATAGACAGACAGGCGGACAAACAGACAGACAGACTGACAGACAGACAGATAGACAGACAGACGCCCCTTTATATAGTAGATTATTGTATTATAGCAATAGCAAATATTGTGCTAGACAAGAAATTGATCGTTTAAAGACAGAGAGATGATTTAAAATCTGAACCTTGAACTCGTACTTTTAGAAACAACTGAATGTCGAGAATGGAATGATCGAGCCTTCACAAAGCACAAAGCTCCCAAGGAAAGTGACTGATAATTGGACATGAAACTGACAATAAGTGTGAATAAAGATTGATTTGAGTTTTGCTTTGCTTTTCAAATGTTTCAGAATAAAACTAAATTTAAAATGTAAAGTAAGAGGCACGTTTGAAGGAATCAAAACGCCGTTTTCCTTGCTGAAACCCAGCGACTTGCTTTAGATTTGCTTTAAGTCGGATCAACTCGTCGCTGATATCGCTTTTTCTAAAAGTTTTCCCTTTTTCCTTTTTGTTTTTTTGTCAAACTTGAAAGATTCTCATTTTTCTCTTGATCGAATGCAAATTTTATTGATTTTTATGCTAATCATTGGAATTTTCTCCGTGAGAAATATTTTTTTTACTGCAGAAAACCCCTCGTTTGCGATTCATGGAGTTGAGTTGGATAGGGAAAAGGCGAGCTAGAAAGCTAGGTGAGCTAGAAAGCTAGGTGAGCTAGAAAGCTAGGTGAGCTAGAAAGCTAGGTGAGCTAGAAAGCTAGGTGAGCTAGAAAGCTAGGTGAGCTAGAAAGCTAGGTGAGCTAGAAAGCTAGATGAGTTAGAAAGCTAGGTGAGCTAGAAAGCTAGGTGAGCTAGAAAGCTAGATGAGTTAGAAAGCTAGGTGAGCTAGAAAGCTAGGTGAGCTAGAAAGCTAGGTGAGCTAGAAAGCTAGGTGAGTTAGAAAGCTAGATGAGCTAGAAATTCAGTTATTATCTTGCATGTAGTACAATTGTACAATTGTAGATGGTACATGTGATTTCTTTGCTTATTGCTTGAGTATAGCAAAACCAAAGCATAGTTTTTTTTGATGTTTACTGTTAGATTTTTAGTTTTGCAAAATGCTTCTCAAACGCGAGATATCTCCTTTAACAAATGCTTCGGTTGTCTAGTGGATAATCTGCTAGACTTTAACATTTGTTGCCACATTTCTGAAAGCTACAGAAAGCAAGAACTCGAGTCAATAATTCAATACAAATCTGTATAGAAATAATTTTTTAAAAAAGTAAAAGAAGTTTGACGAGAGAGTGACTCGAACTTGGGGGTAAAGAATGTAAAAGGTTTGGTAGTCTAGCAGATTATCCACTAGTCTAGCTTGGTCTAGTCTAGCAGATTATCCACTAGTCTAGCTTGGTCTAGTCTAGCAGATTATCCACCAATCTAGTTTGGTCTAGTCTAGCAGATTATCCACTAGTCTAGCTTGGTCTAGTCTAGCAGATTATCCACCAATCTAGTTTGGTCTAGTCTAGCAGATTATCCACTAGTCTAGTTTGGTCTAGTCGTTTAATTTTAGTTCAAAGTCCCGCAGTTTTCAATTCACCAACCCAATATGTATGAATTGATTAAAAAAGTCTAACGGAAATGCATTTACAGAAATTTAGATCTGTAAATGTTCAAAAGTTCAAAACCCTCAAAATTGTCAAAAAAACCGGCTTTTTCACAAAAAAAGAAAACTTATTGTAAAAACAAAGTTTTCCGATGAAATGATCCCAACTCTTAATTATTTTGAATGCTATTTATGGCGCTCATTTTCCACTATATATTCAAAACCGAAATCTTATGAAAGTGGGGTTTTCAAAGAGTGCCCTTTTTTGGTCACTCGCATTTCGCCCTCGAAATTTCTTCAATGGTTCGATCAATTGAAACACGTTTTAGCCTATTTTGTAGAGGAGATTTAAAACTTTAGTTTACAACATTCATAATAGGTTATAACATTCATCGATATCAGGTTTCTATCGTTGAAAATTTATGAAAATGTTGAACCCCGCATTTCTTATGCATTTACCTAATATATTCAGGATCGAGCGACTCAAGACTGTGCTTACGCTTTCAATTATGGACCAGCTCCATATAAAACGGATTCAAGAAAGAGATTGCTTACGTTTAGGTGAGTTCTGAGAGTTCTAGCTGATTGATGGTTGAATGATTGAACTTCAAACGGAGTACTAAACCTAAACTCCTTCCAAAGGCTTCTAAAACATATAAACTTCAAAAACTACAGTAATATCGCCCAGGAATTCGCTCTTGTCGCTGTAGATTTTGTACCGAATCTTTCCAAATTTACCCTGGATTTGTATTTGCTCTGTAATTATGAAATCTAATTATTTGTCATGGTTTTGTTTAAAACTAATTCATCAATTGATGAAACAATCAATTCATCAATTAGGACTAAAACTAGTTGACTTACAATCTGTTCTATCAAAAAGCTCTATTAATTCTCGATAAAATTGCTTTTTAAAGTTTCTGAAAATCTTTTGTTTTTGGAATTTGCAAAAGGCAAGAATCAAAGTAGCGTAAAATGATAAATTCAAGATCAGAACATACGATTTTGACACTTTCGTCTACAGAAACCTATTTTAATGTTAATAGATAAAAGATAGAGCATAAAAAGTTAGAAATATACCGTAAATACTGTAATAGTACCCCAGCCTCCTGGTAAAGTCGCGTAGTCGCAAAAGTTTTTTAGTATTTCATTTTTTTCAAAGCGTCCGTACTTTCAAAAAATGGGTCTTTGGTATCAAAAAATAGCTGAAATTCAGGGCTATTTTTTGATACCTACGCGCGCATTGTAGCATAAACCAGTGTCGAGAAACACTCGTTCAAAGCTAGACCACGCAACACTCCACACCGTCATTAGGGGGGTGGGGGTACGATTACAGCATTTACGGTAACTCAATTTTCAGCTCAATTTGTTCAGGCTATTTTCTTATATGCTAATTTTCATTAAAAATGGGATCTTTTTTTGCTCAATAGTACAAGAAACAAGCTCAAATATACTTAAAAAGTGATAATATGTAAAAGAGAAACCTTTCTAATAAAAGAAAATTGTAAATCAATCGGTGAATTAGGGATTTTAAACAGAAACATGGAAAATTTCAGACCTAAAAAACAATAAAACAAGTAAACATCATAAACTCGTTAGCTAATTCATTAAATTGAAACTCTTTCTTCCAAGAAATTAGCAATAGCAATTCAATATCGCTTTTTCAGAGATTCCGAGCCATTTCCCCAGCAAGTGATCGAGACAACAGCTTTCAGTGTTCTCATCCCAGCCGGCTTTTTCCCTTCAATCCTTCTTCACTCAAATTCACAATGGAAGAATAGTTTGCTAAGTTCGAAATCAAGTTTGAAATCCTTTGCTTTAGGCTCAAAAATTGCACTTAAACAGCAAACTTGCGGGGGATTGTTTTTCTTCATCACTCACTGCTTTGAAAGTTATCAGACGAAAATCGATGAGGATTATGAGATGAAAAGAGAGCTTTACTGTGGTAGGGAAGGGTTCTAGCAAATGGTTTTCTTAAACCATTTGCTTTTCGATCTTCTTAAATCAAATTCAGATTCTTTCTCAGTTGTGAAATTGGTTACATTGCCACTCCCGTTCTAAGTTTAACAATCTACGATGAATATGGAAAAATTATGGCAGCTCCAGAGTATTTTCGAATTGTTTAGATGATCAAAATCTGTTTTCAGATACATTGAGCCAATCTACGAAGCATTCAATCTCACATTCACCGCGGCGAGAAGAGTTTTGGTCAGAAATTCTTATAGTTTCTTGTAGTACTAGACTAGACAAGACTCTTTTACTTTTAGATGATATCTAAAGTAAATCTTGAGTCGTTAAACTGTTAACTATTAGGTTGTCCGGAAATAAATGAGCGTTTTTAACTCGAATATTTGAAATCCCATAACTTGATCCAAACAAAACTTTATTAATCAAAGTAAGAACCATTACAAATAACACATTTTTGTCAACGAGAAACAAGTTTATTTATGCCGGTAGCATAGAAGTCCGAGCTTCTGGAAGCGATAAAGTCGGCGAAGGCGTTTTTGGCATCGTCTTTAATTTTGAAGCGTTTCTCCCGGAGAAAGTTGTCGAGGTGCTTGAAAAAGTGGTAGTCGGTAGGCGAAAGGTCCGGCGAATATGGTGAGTGAGGCAAAGTTTCATAGCTCAGTTCGTTTAGCTTTTGCAGGGTCGGTTGTGCGACGTCCGGACGAGCGTTGTCGTGGAGAAGAATTGGACCTTTTCTGTTGACCAATGCCGGGCAGATTCGCCGCAATTTCTGGTGCATTTCGTCAATTTGTTGGCAGTACTTCTTCGCCGTAATCGTTTCGCCCGGATTCAGAAAGCTGTGATGGATGAGACCGGCTCCGGACCACCAAACAGTCACCATAACCTTCTTTTGGTGCAAATTTGGCTTTGGAAAGTGTTGTGGCGCCTCCCCGGCGTCCAACCACTGAGCGGAACATCGCCGGTTGTCGTAGAGGATCCACTTTTCGTCGCACGTTATGATCCGGTCGAGAAATGGGTCGTTTTTGTTGCGCTGAAGAAGAGCAGACGACATTTCAAAATGACGATTTTTTTTTATTTTCATTCAATTCTTGTGGCACCCATTTATCGAGCTTTTTTGACTTTCCAATCCGTTTCAAGTGGTCGGAAATAGTCGTCTTGCCCACGCTAAGCTTCTCCGCAAGCTCTCGAATAGTCGTACGTGGATTTGCTTCCACCAGGGTCTTCAGTTCGTCGTCACCGAGTTCAACAGGACGGCCACGACCTTCTCTATCTTCGAGATCAAAATCACCAGCTCGGAATTTTCGGAACCAAATTCGCACTGACTCGCCGACACTGCCTTGGCCCCAAACTTTGTTAATGTTACGAGCCGTTTCAGCTGCATTGCGACCGAGTTTAAATTCATAAAAGAAAATGTGGCGAAAGTTGGTTTCGGACAACGGCGAAGCTTAAAATTCGCAAAAAAATTTTATTTTCAACAAAATTTAAAAGTATGGTTAAAGAGGGCACGAACTCAGCTTTCTAATGGTATATAACATTACAAGGTACATAGCATACTTTATAAAGAAAAATGATATTGTTACAGGGTGTAGCGATTATTGGTGGTTTAGATCGAATCTTTATTACAGCAATAATAGTTGATTCAATGGTTTGGGATTGGGAGAGTAGAGACGACTCCACGGCACACCTCGGCAGCTCGTTCGCATTGCTTTTATACAGAACTTTGGCGTTGGTCTCGTCTTGCA